TAAGGCAAGTTCAACTGGAGAGCAGTAAGGATGACGAGCTTGTTGAGTATTCTATAGTTTCAGAACACCAGGATGCCTCAGCTTATGTTGAGATGAAAGAACCTGACAAACACAATGCAGAGGAGGAAAACGAGACTCAGATGAATGGAAGTGCCACAGATATTCCCCAAGTCGAGGCTGAAGAGAATGAAGGAGAAGGAGCAAAAGCGTTGGATGAGAAAGAAAAGGTGATCGTTGTTGGTGAAACATTAGATTCCGAGGGAACAAAAGATCAAGAAGTAGCCAAGGAAGTGAAACAAGGGGCAGAAAATGCAGCGCCTGAACAACAAAGCACTCAAGGGAAGAAGAATTCTGCGGTTTCTAATGATGTAATCGAGGAGACTGCAAGCAAACTTCGTGAACAGAGAAGAAACAAGGTGAGGGCACTAGCCGGGGCCTTTGAAACTGTCATATCCTTACAAGAGCCCAAGTGAGAACTACTGATAATGCTCCTATCCTACAGTATATTCTACATCTGATATGAAAGTTTAAAGTTTAGAAACAAAAATGAATTTTATAAGATAATCCACATATGCTTTGCTTCTTTTTTTTTTTTTCCTTATTTCCAGTTCTGTCGTTTAACAAAGTACTACTGTATTGCTTGTGAGAGAAAATCGATAATTTACTTAATTATGCAATTTTCTATGAACATATCAAAGCCCAAGTTGAGTCACTTATATTCAGCCATGAAATTAAAATCCCAAAAGGATCTCATGCAACTATATCCTCAATTAGTGCTGTTCGAGTGTAAAATACCTTGACAAAGCTGTTGGGACGCTCAGACGATATCAAGCTAATCAGTTAGGCAATAGCAATAGAAACATCCACCGCCTACTCTGCTATTTGAACCCGAATAGGATATAGAATATTCAACTAGCACTCCAAGAGCCCGTGTATATACAAACAATGGAGGATCTAGGAATCCAGGTGAGCACAGACGACTGCTAGACAGCCGCTCGAGCGGCCACCCAATATAAGGAAAAAAAAAAATTACGGACGGCCACAGGGGCTCGTCAGCTGCTGGCTCTGATATAGAGACTTGTAAATCATTGAACTAGTAGGAAGGACCTCGACACAGGGCTCCTTTCAGGGTAACCATGATTTAATAGTATCAAGTATGCCATCACTTAACAGTTGGAGAATTTCGATATGGATTCATAACCCCATTGTCAAATTTCTCATTCAAGTGCCTCATTTTGAAACTGCCATGGCTTACACGCTTTGGCTGAAAAAGCAAGTCAAACATTTTCTCCCAATACTAATGGCCCATATTTTTGCATGTAGCTACGATAAACAGGGACAATTGTCTGAATTATAACCTGGCACGTTTTCTCGTGCAAGTCTTTGTCCAAAATAATCCAGTGGGATTGCTTCTTGTACATATTATCAACAGCTTCACTGAAAAACTTTAATCTCTTTTTCACAAGATCACGGGCAGTTGCACGCCTGCCAGAGAGTTGGCCTTCCCTATTTAAAAGAGCAGGGAGTTTGCCCCAGCTCTCTCTCAAGCATATAGTAGAATAATACTCCTTGTACTGATCATTCTCTCTTAACCAAGTATCTCCCAGCAGGTTCCCGAGCTTCGTGCCCTTCAGATGCTTGTATATCTGCCAAAGATTGTTCATCAAGAACGCATGGGAACAAACAACATCTTCGCAAGCCTTGGACCATGTCTCCAAATTCAGCCCAATAGCTTTCACTAAATTCAGAAGCTCGAAATAAGAATTCTCTCTTGGAATTTTTCATGCTTAAGAATGCAATATTATCCAACAGTTTCAATAGCATGATAGGATTCTTCTTATTTACTAACTGTTTTCCCAAATTGTAGAAATGAAAGAATGCCTGCCTGGGCAGCTATCACAGCAAGACAGCTCTTCTACACTATACATCCAATCCCATCATCTTAAAGCGTCATTAAAAAGTTTATATTCAGCTTCAAACAGATTCATAGCAAACTCCAAATGCTTGCCCCACTTACCAATAAAGCCCTCAATGTTCAAACATCATTGAACTCAGAGACTGGTATGTCAAGATAATCCAAATTAAGTGCCTTCGAACTTGCTCAAACATTATGTTGGGAATTTACTTAGGACCTGTCTGGGCGCAATTATAATTACAATTCCAACTGTTGCTACAGTAACCGCCCACAATTTTTGACTTTTGTTAACTCACAGCCAGCCCACAATTTGAATTGCAACGGTCCAAAAAAGCCAGTTTTGTGTAATTTTAATTGCGCTCAGACAGGACCTTAATCATGTACATCGGAAAATAAAATAATTTCAATTTCCACCAAAGATCTTCTTTCTGTTTAGAAAGAAACTATGATATGAATTATATCTTTTGTAAATTCTACAAACTCCTTTACCGATCTTAGAACATGAACAACAATTATGATCTGCAATTCGCAGCTGTCCAATTATTCAGAATCCACACAAGGAACACGAATTAGAGAATTATGGTTTCTCTTTTCTTGCGTTAGCTAGATAATGAATTGTATTCTAATTTTCTGAAACAGTAGTAGTTTATTAATATATGTTCAAGTGGGCTTGACCTCTCTTAAATTTTACCGGATCCAATATTTAATTACTCCAATTAATTAATTAATTGATAAATTTCATTCTTCTAGTTTTCCTTTTGTGTTTGATCTATTAGGTTTCCGATCACGATACCTAACGATGTGAATTATTGATTTAATCTAATTAAAATCGATAAATTAAAATACATGTTTTAATTTATCACTAATTCACATCAGTTATCTTAAATTGACATCTAACAATGCATCATGGTAATACATGAGAAATGTTACGTAGTATGAAAAAACTAAACGTGTTCGTTTACCGTGAAATTATAATCATTTCGTCAATATGATCCGATAAATTACGAGATATGGATATGTGTCAAACTCAATTATTGATCATATGTTTTATTCCACTATTAAGTCAATGTAAGTCGAAAAGTCATTTTCGACTTATGATTTCACATTGCAAAAAGATTTCATTATCAACTAAATTGGATAAAATGTAGATCATAATCT